TTCAACTCCTGATCTGCCAGAGATTAGCTAAGGCCTCTTAAATGGCTCTGCCCACCCTTCCCTTGAAGCATTGATCTTATCATGGGGAATGTCTGAGCGTATTTCTCACAGAAATACGGGTATATCAGAAATGTATCATCTTTGTGGCTGGTCAGTATCCAGCCCAGTAGAGACTGGACATGAGGTTTTAAAATTCATATTAATATGTTCAACGAGAGCCAGACACACCTGCACTAGAATCTGTCAAATTAGAGCTCCTTTGTTTTTCTCATTCCAGTGAGGCAATTTGGGGGATCTCCCAGGGAGATTGCATATAAGACTAGATGAGCTCCAAATGAGTATCCGCAAGGGTCATGACCTGGGAGTCAGTACTGGAGGACCCTGAGAACCCTTCCTGCTTATGGATGCATAAACGCTACCCCTTGGTTCTGGCAGTGGAGATGTGACACTTTTCCTCCTTCCAGCCCAATGTTTCAGAGGAATCAAAGACTCTGACTGTCAACGGGGCTGATTTCATAGATGCAAAAGCTCAAGTCTAGGGCAGGTGTTTGGCAAACCCAGAAATCACCTCTGTTCTTCCTGGTTGACTGTTCACATTTCTTTAGCAACAGCCCACCTATATCTTTTGATCAACTCAAAGCTAGTTAAAAATATAAGAAGCAAAATGAATATAAAGGTGGTGAGCTTCATTGACCAGGTGCCCGATAATGAAATGAAATGAAAAGCAATTTATGGTGCAGCCCAGAGGTCCTTGATGCCTATAGCCTTCTATAGTTCCAGTAACAACTGCACCCGTTGATTTCCTGTTAAAATATAGCACCCTTGGTAAATTAACCTATTACAGGCCAAAGGCAACAAAGACAGACATATAGTGGTCCAAACTAAGACAGTGGCTGTGAGAATGGAAACAGATGAGCCTTAGAGATGCTTAGGAGGGAGAATGGGCAACTTTGAGAACTGGAGTGAGAGGTGAGAGAGAGATGAGCGGTGAAACTGTCCATACAGCATGACACTCAGCTATTCACCCTGCTCCTCAGTCTTAAATACGCTCGTAGGGGATTTCAACTTTTGGAAGCTGGATAGCATTCAGGCCCGTCTTACTAAAGCTTGGTTATGGGCTGTTGATTTGGAAAGAACAATGGTTCTTTCTTGCCAGCCGGACAAGCACACATGGGCCACTGGGGCAAATATTGCCCAACAGGCAAAGAGTGTGCAATGTCAGGGTAGGGCTTGTACTGGCTGAGCATGGCAGAGAAGAAAACCTCGGTTGGGTGGCTGGAGGAGGTGGAGTGGGAGGGGAGTGGTGGGGAGAAATCTCCTTACCCTTGATATGCCCCCAACAGGTCGGGACAACCCCCACAGAGGAGACTCAGGAGAACACCAGGCTGCCAAGCTGTCAGTATGTACTCCCTCCATAAGGGCTCAGAACTCAATTCAGAATTGGGCAGTACTGTGGTCTCCCAAACTAATAAATGCTCGTTCTGGCCACTTCAGGGAAGCTGAGGAAAACGGAGCCTTTGTTTCTAGGCACGGTGCGTTCTCTACCACACCACGTCTGCTGTACAACCAGCTCAGCTCTTCCACATTCCTCATCTGCCCAGAAGGGTGGGCCTGGAGCTAAGTCCCATGTGTCTCCCCTACTCCACACTCCCCCTTCCCCTATATCCTAAACATCTCTTGACTCTGCCCAGTAGGCTCTTATTCTAGTTCACATCATCTCTCGGGTAACTGATCACCATACTCTCCTGTGCTCCAGGCGCTCAGATTCTGAATAATGAGCAAAACAAAAGGCTCTTTCTGTTGCAAGCCAGGCCTCTTGGAAGTGTCTGTGCGAGTCCCATAGCTCAACTGGATGAGAGAGATCTTCTTACCCAAGTAAGGCAGAGGGGAGGGCGAGGTGAGGACAGCGTACCTGTCAAACGAGGGCCGCTCCCCTGCATCAAAAGCATCTCTGAGCTGCTTTACCAGGTTGTCCTGCCCGGGCAGTCGGAAGATGCCCTCTTCATTCAGGCCATGTTCAAGGATGAACTCCGTACACTTCTCCACCAGGATGGGCACCAGGTGGAGGCCAAATTTCTGCTCATAGGCCACGGTCTCATCCAAGCGCTGGCCAAACACCGCTAGGAAGAGAAAAACAGGACCTGTTCATCATTCTGACTTCCATTGGATGAACTGACAGGTCAAAGTACTTTGCCTATTTCTTGATTTTCAGTATTGCCTATGACCTCAAAGGTTTTAAGGGAATTATACTAAACAAAGTAAAGGAAACAAATCACCCATAATATTTCCTTGGGGCTGGAAATTGGGGCAGTCTCTGTCAGTCTTCGTCTATGGATACACATTTTCACGTATTTAAAATAAAAATTCACTTCTACTGACTACTCGAGTGCTAGGAATTATGCTAAGCACTTTGCACACCTTTTCTTATTTACCCTTGACTGAAACCCCATGAAGTGGTAGCATTGTTACACCCACCTTACTGTTAAAGACACTGAGCCTTAGGGGCACTGGTGCACTTGCCAAGATCAGGTGCCAGGGCACCGTACAGTCAGAATTCAAGCCCGGGCAGTAAATGCAAGAGAATGTGCCCTTAACCACAGCAACAAGCAGATTGCTTTTCATTCTGCTTGCATCATATAGTATTAAAGCATAACCATCTATGACATGGATGTCTCATAGTGTGTTACGCCAGTGCAGCATTTTTAATAATTGAGGCTGTTTACTATGTTTTACTATTATTAACATTGCCACAGAGAACATTCCTCCTGGAATGTGTGTAGTGCAATGTATTATTTCTAATTAATTGCTTAATTAATTATTTGACATTTGGATGGATGGACTTCTCATTCTTTTGAACTATTTCCTTAGGGCAAATTCCCACATGTAGAATTACTAGGTGAAGTGGTTTGAACATTTTTATCACTCGATGGCATGCAAATTGCTTTTCAAAAATATTTTTCCAAATTACACCGCCTCCAGCAAAGCATGTGTGGACCAGCTCTATCCCAGCCCTATCAGCACTTGGCTCTACCCCAGTGGTATAGCAAGGTTAGTTCATAAATCAGGAGAATTGCTAGCTGCCCATTGTTTTCCCACCATGCCCCCATGCCCTGTGTGTCCTGGAGGCTCAGAAGATAGGTCATGGCTTTAGTCCCGTCCTGCCTGAGTTTCCCTCTGTCATAATTAGGATTTTGTTGCACTGACCACTTCTATCAATGGACACTGGTTCCCAAAGCCCTTTGGTTTTCCCCATGATTCTCTCTCTCTCTCTTGTTGGTCCCCTACATCCACTCTCTAATTAACGTGGATTCCACCTATAAAAAGCTGTAAGGAGTTCTTGAATCTCCCATGTCCCTTCCACCCCCACCCACTGCCCTAGGCCAGGCTGGACTCCTCTCCCACCCATGACTGCTTCTTCAAACATGTTCAAACCCTCCTGCTATTTACCTTTCTAAACCACTGATCTACCTGAGCACGTTTCCCCTCTGCTTACAATAGTTATCTAATTCTCCAATTGCCATAGCATTTTTCAAATTACACCTCAGAGTCCTAGGGGGTTCTTCTGCAGCCCCTCCTGCCAACCAGAAGGGCTGATATCTGTTTTACTTATTGCATTTCAGTGAGACTGATTAAATATTTTTATGGCTAACGTCTGAAAGCTGGGGCTGGTATTCCTTACTTAGGTTGGCATTCAGCCTGGCCTCTACCTACCTTTCTTGCCTGACTTCCTACCACGCCCCCAAAGGCACCTCACCGTCATGGTCTCAAAGCCCACAGTGCTCTCAGGCCTTCGTGCCCTGGGATAGTTGCTTCTCACTGCCCAGTCAGTTCATCTCTCCCCTCCCCATCTGCTGGAATTCTATTTGTCTTCTTTGGCCTGACTCAAATATTGTCACCTCTACTAAGACTTCCCTGACCCCAGCCTGAGAGATTCTGTCCTTACTCTGTGTACTCATACTCCATCTTGAATATCCCAATCTCTTTCCACACTGTGCTATAATTATTTGTAAGTCCCTCTCCCTGCACACTGTAGGCTCCCTGGTGCTGAAAACATGGGGACAATCTTTTTATTCCCAATGGTTAGCATAAAGCCTGGTAGATTGTTGACAAACTTTGCTAAATCACTTAATGGATTATTTTCACTTTCCATGATTAATGATAATTTTGGCATTTCTTTAGTTTAAACACTAAATCTCCTCAGTAGATAAGTTCAGCTTCACGTTAACATTGATTGAGTGCCCTGCCATGTGCCATCGACAGACCACGTGGAATGGGCTACACAGATAAGGGAATGTAAGATATAGTTCTTACATTCATTTAGCTCACCATCGAGTTATGAAAGAACGCCTTGCAAAATAATGAGAAAAAATTAAGAGAACGGCAAAACAATATAGAATTAGGTTCCTATTTGTCTGTGAAGGAAGCTGGATAGATATTTTCACTAAATTGGAGGGAAACTATTGAAATGATCTGACTTAAAATACAGACCACATGGCATTTGTAAAATCCCCTTCGAGGGGTCCATAGAGGAGCACTTCAAAGGGAAAGGCAGTTGAAATGGGACCCCACAGGGACAGATCACCCAAACACAATATGATGGTGTGTGTGCACGGACACATTAGAGCTATCAAGTGGGAGCACCATTTCTGAGGTCTCCAGGCAAATGCAGGTGATCTGGAATCAAGGGCCTTCTCATGCTTCTCTGCATAGTCAGTCCTCTAACTTCTCTGAGTCTATCATCCTTGTCCTGTGTTCGTTCTCTATTCCTCCCATATTCCACAGTCAGGCATTTCAATGCCACTCTCCTCGGTACACTCATTTCCCAGCACTCCTTTTCTCTCCATTCTCTCCACTCGGCCAATTTCCACTACCATCTCCATGCCTTCATCAGGCCACTGAGAGCTACAAGAAAATATAGCACACTATATCATGGAAATTTGTATTTCCAATCTCTGTAAGACTTTGGTGCCAAATCTTCACCACTCCCCTTGAGCTTACCACCCAGTCCCTCTCCTCTCTGTCTCAGCAGGTGAACTTGTCTGCACTTTTCTTTATGTCCCCAAACTAAGGATATTATGAGGGAACTCTCTCATTTCCATCCCTGCCTCTCTTATCCTTCCTCCTGTCTATCTGTCTATCCTCTCACAGAATAAGAAAAAAACCCTATGCTTTCTTCTAAGATGATGTTTACTTGAAGCATAGCAAACATCACTCCTTCTCTTTTGTATCTTAAATTTTTCTTTTTCAGTTAAAAAAAACCCCACATGAGTCTAAGTCTTTACCAATTTATTAAAGACTAATCTCCTACCCCAGGTCGCAAACAACCAACACTTGCCTTTCTTCTCTCCACCAGTATACTCATCAAAACATGTGTCCACTTCTTGAAAGAGTTGTCCACTGTCACGGCCTTTACTTCCCTTAGTATTTATTCCTCAACCTCTCAATCCATCCCAATCTGGATTCATCAGGTTGAATCTTTCCACTTAGTCCATTCAATAAAATTTCTAGCGCCCTTCTAATGGGAAAATCTGGCCTGCGTTCATTCCTCACTCTACTAGTCTTCACTGAAGACTCTCATGATGTTGATTCATCTTCCTCCTCAAGACTTCCTCCCTACATGACTACAAAACCATCCATTCTCATTGTACTCCCATCTCCATGCAGGCTTCTCTGCAGTCTTTCTTGTACCCCCTCCTCCACCTGCTCCTTTAGTGTGCCATTTCCTGGCGTTCCAACTCAGACATCCTCCTACTCTAGACATTCTCCTTGGGAAAGTTCATGATTCCATATATGCACATACCACCTACAAACTGGTAACTTATACATCCACATATCTGGTCAAGATCTCTCTCTCTCTCTCTCTTTCTCATTTCTTTCTCTTCCCCTCTTTCTCCTCCATTCTATAAGTCAAACATCTAATGGCAGTTCTTGCAGTATCTTCTCCAATCTCGCTCTCTCCACACCCCCAGCACTCCCAAATCACCACTTTTCCTGTAGCCTTCTTCGCAGGCCATAGCACTTAGCCAGCAAAGCACCAAGCACTTTCCTAGGCACTGAGAATACAGAACATTAACATAAGGTACCTGCCCTCAAGTAACTCAATTAGCAAAACTGTGAGTGTTCGAATTATCTACAACACCCCTCTTTTCCTCCAGATAAATCAGTACATTCTACAATACACTTTAAACCCTCTCTCTTCTCTATCCTTGCTGATACCTTCAAAATTACTGTAATGGCTTCTTTTGCAATTCTGTTTCTTGCAAATTTCTTCCACTGAATTTCACAAATTATTCAGCACATATAGATTGAGCATCTGCTGTGGACCAGCCACTTTGGTAGCTGGAGATTATGACACAAAGAATGAAAAATGCTCTTTGCTCTTGAAAACTCAGGAATGAATGTCCTTCCCCCTTTTCCCACCTGGAAACCTGATCTTCCTGCAGCCTAAGTTCAGATGTCTTCACCTCAGAGAGACTTGGTCACTCTATCTTCTGTGCTCATAGAACTCCTGTACATACCTCTATTTTTTCACTTCTCATGGAGTTTTATGATGATTTATTTAAACATCTCTCTCTTCCACTGGGCTTTGGGCTCCTGAAAGGTAGACAGTCCGTCTGGCTCACCATCTATTTTTATCTCCTGGCACAGAGCCTGACACATGATGGACCAGTCCTTAATGAGCTGTTACTACCCACTGTCTCCCATCCCTCCTGTTCACAGCCTCTTCTCTCCTGAATGCACTCTGATCAGCATTTCTTCAAACTCGCACTTGTCAGGATCAATGGCCTATTTTACATCCTTAAATCCCGGGGTCACATTCTCAGCCTTCATCTTAATTGCTCTATCAGCAACATGTGACACAGTAAATCACCCCTCCTTCCTGAGACACTTTTTTTTCACATGGCTTTTGGTCCACCACGCTCTCAGTTCTCCATTTATCTCATTGGCTGCTCCTTCTCAGCCTCCTCGGATGATTCCTCCTTTTACCCCTGTCCTCTATATGTCAAAGTGTCCCAGGCCTTCCTTTCCTCATCCGCGCATGCTTCATAACCTCAGGGCTTTAAATATCACCCATATGATGAAGACTTCACACTTTATATCTCCAGCCTAGAAATCAATC